ATTTATATGAAAGGTATATAAATATCTTTTATATGGATATTTGGGAATCTTTAAGATAATTGTACAATTATAGGAGATATATGATTTTTTAGGAATTAAAGAAATGATCAAAAAGGTCATCTTAAATTATAATATTTATAATAAAGTTAAAAAAGCCAGATATAAACCATATAGGCTTTTATAACTTATTAAGATTCTAGATAAATTATAGGATATTATTATATGGGATTTCATTACCAAATTACCTAAATTATAATATCTAGTAATTAAGAAGGAATATAATAACATATAGATTATCATTAATAAACTCATAAAATATAGATATTTTATATTATTTAAAGAAACTTATATAACTAAAGATTTGATTTTTAAATTTATTAAAAAAATCTTTAATAAATATAGCCTATTAAAGAAGATTATTTCAAATAAGGATAAGTTTTTTACCTCAAAATTTTAGATTGACTTAATAAAAAGACTAAAGGTTAAATAGAAGTTTTCTATAATAACCTATTCTCAAATTAATGACTAAATGAAATGACTAAATTAAATATTAAAGTAATATTTACAAAATTATATTGATTATAAATAAGATAATTAAATAAAATTTTTATTATTTATTATATCTTTATATAATATTTTAATAAATAATATTACCAAAATGTCATTATAGGAAGCATTATATGGATAATAAATAGATATAGAATATAAACCATTAATAAATAAAATTATTTTAAAATTAGAAATAATATTATTTAAAATAGAGATGTTTATTATTAAAATCTTAACATTATAAGCTAAACTTAAATAATATCTTGAATTTTTATAATATAAAATGATAATATATTATAATAAAAAAAGAATTAAAAATCTAATTTTATAAAAGGGAAATAAGATTTATTTCTTATAAGATAAGTAATATTTCATATTAAAAATATTTTAAATTTAAATTAAAAAGTTAAATAAAAAATTAGATTTTAAGAAATTAAAACCTTTCTTAATTAAAAAAATCTTTTTAAAAATAAATTATTAATTATAATTATTAATAAATATAAAATTAAAAATTAATATATTTTATATTGTTATATTTAAACTAGCATCTAAAGATGTTAAAATTGAAAGAAATGTCAAATTGGAAGAAGACTTAGAAAAATATAATATTAAAATCATCTATAATTTTAAAATTATTAATAATTAAATTAAATATTTTATTAAATAATTTAATTATTTAGAAGAAAATAATACCTAAGAATTATAAAAATATCTTATAAATAATAAAATTTAAAAATTAATTAAGGATTTTTATTATTAGAATCCTAATTAACCAAAATTTATATAATTATAATTAATAATAATATTAAACCAAAATTAAAGTTTATCTTAAATAAAAAAAAAAAAAAGATTAAAGAAAGAACCTTAAAAATAAAAATATTATATCTTTATTTAATTTAGATTTATTCTTTAATAATATAAACCCATTTTTTTATTAGATAAACCTATTTTTCTTTAATATTTTATTCCTTACCAAGTTTTAATAATTTTAGATTATATTTTTTTAATAAATTTTTTTGGTAATAAAGTTACTATAATTTATTAATTTTTTTTATTATTTTTTTTTAAAGATGGACTAATTTATCTTTTATATTTTTATATTTTTACTCTAAATAAGTACAAGTCTGGAAAATATAGTTAAAAACATTTATCTCCAGGATGTCACAATATTTTCAATTCTAATAAATATAATGGTTATAAATTTTAAAATTAATAAATAAAAAATAATCCTTTTTAGAAATGTTATAATTAGAATAAGGAAAGATGGGTCAACCATGAGTTTCAATATAATTGACACAAATATGACATTCCTGCCATTAATTAAAGCAAATATTTGACTTTTATACCTTCCTAGATATAATTTTTATACAATAAATATAAAAATAAAAGAAGAAAAAAATATTTACCTTTTTTATTTTTGAGGGCAAAAATTTAGAAGGAAAAGATATAATGTTATAAACCAGCCATAAGAGACCCTTGTCAGATCACAGAAGATGGAACATAGGTAACCTATCACAATTAAACTCTAATTTGATATATTAACATATAATATATCACAATATATCACAATATATCACAACACATCATAACATATCATAATATATCATAATATATCACAATAACCTCAGGATAAAAAAGAAAAAAAAAATAATTATATAATTATAAATATTTCTTATATATTTAATTACTCTTTTTATAATTTTTTAATTATTAATCTAAAATTATTCTTTTAAACATAATAAAAAGACTCTAAACCTCTCTAATAAATAAAATATATTTAATTATTTAATCTATTATTAATATTATTATTTTTAAATTAAGAAAACCCTGGATTAATTAATCCAGCAATGACTATACCTCTCTGAGGCATAGGTTTGTCACAATATGCAGATAACTTTCTTTTAATAATTAATAAATTCTATAATATATTAAATAATTATATTGGCTAAACCATTAGGAAATAAATAAAATTAAAGTATGTTTAACCCCTATAATTATATTTTAAATAAACTATAATATATTAAGATAGAAATAGCTACTATATTGCTGTCTTAAACTACTATACCCTTTTATTATATAGCCAAGAAGATAATATTCTTCTAAAGGGATTCCACCCCCATATGGAAGATATAGCCAAGTTAACCACTAAAAACCCCTTAGCTTTATACAAATTAAGTAAGATAAAAGAAGGTGTGTTAAGATTCTTTGAAAATACCTATAACATTATTTTATATAGATTAGGTAATTTTAATATAAATAATATTCATAGATTTAAATAATTTTTTTAATTAATAGAACATTTTATAAACCTTTCCATTTCTTTATATTATTATGGTTTTCATATTTTATTTTATATATTATTTAAATGTAATGTCCTTTATTAAAAAGATAATCCCCTGGAAACTAATCTTATTTTAATTTAATTTCCTATTCTTTTTCTGTAGAGAATATTATAGAATATATAATAAATAGTTCTTTAGATAGGATAAAAAACTTGTCCCTTATTTGTTGTTAAAGGATTTTGTTATGAAGGGTTTTATTTGGATAGATAAATATTTTTTAATAGATTAGTTTAATAATAATAAGATCGACAATAATGAGAAGTATTTTGAAGTTGCTTTTATGATAGATAACTGCAAGGAAAGAATCCTATGGCTAATTTATTGGATTGTGAAGCTCGGTAAGTAGCTCACTTATGATAAGATATTATATCAGTTTGGCATTGTTCCTGAATATGAAAAGGAGATAGCAAATAACGCGAAAGATGCGGACATGAACATCTCCGACCTTGACCCGGTTTCCGGTAGCTCTACGTTCGACTTGGTAGCTGCTGCAGGGAACACAGCATCCGAAACAGACGAAGACATGGTCGACGTCGACGAAATACTGGCCTATAAGCCAATAATCCGCCAATGATGTGGGATAAACTGAGGAGTCATTTGGGCTGGCGTTGGTAAGGGGCCCCAATTGAACTGTTTAGATGGCGTTGATATCAATGGTTTCAGGAACCAAGTCCGTAATTACGCACCTGGTATCTTTCGTTTGAGGTCTTGTCTGCGTTGCTAGCTTACATTATTCGAACCAATCATCGCCTTCCTTATCAAGGACGACGAGCCTCGTTTAACATGACAGGCATTGTACTACGGATACTACTAAAATTTCCGCCTGAACTCCTTAACAGATTGGCAGTTGTAGTATATCTTTTTCTTTTCATATACATCTAAGTGGCGTTTTATCAGCTCGAAAGTATGGGCAATTCTTCCAGAACCGCAATGAACGTTGCAAGATGGTTCGTTATTCGAATCAATACCTGACCCTTGCGACTACTCTTACAGCTCATGAATGGCTACCCATTACCCACTGTGGCGTCAGGAACTAGGTACCTACTGTAGGTAGATATGCCCACCTAGGTAATAACGTGCATACCGGTCAAAGACACAATGTATCTTAGGCGCCTAGAAAAACTACCGTACGTTTCCCGTGGATCATCGATTACGTTAACCATATTAACAGTTTCGAATATCTCTAGTATGCCGGAAGCTCTCAGCGCACGAGCCTTCAACCATATCACTTTACGAAGACCGCCCGTGTGATACAGACGACAAATTTAGTACCTAGCATGCCGACAATAGCCTCATCCAATAAGTTAGGGTAGGAAGCTATATGTAGAGGGTAATGGGGTACAGGATACCGACCTTCGTGAGGCCTTGTGCACGCTATTCGTAAAGAGAAATATAGTATTCTACAGGGGTATAGGAGGTGATAAGAGAGAGAGAGTCTTGTTGATAATGTCTTGGTGGAGAAGGCATTTGGGAGCTACACCAACAATCTACCGTGCGGCTTTTCGGACGTTTACCTTATGAGATAATGATGTACATAGTCAGATACTTAGGTAGGCATAGATGAAATCTCTGATCTGTCGCTATCTTATCACAAATATAGCGACCTTCCATACGCAACTTGCCATTGCGGTATCCCTGTGCTTAGTAGATGAATGGGATCATTTGCTACGTTCGTTATTTATTGCTAAGTCTCTGGCGTGTCTTCAATGTAGCTAAGGTGGTGCCTCAATTTACGAAAATAATGAAAAAGCATGATTGTGACCTAGGCTAGCCTATTTGGGCTGTAGGCATGCTGCCATGTTCTTCCATAGGTAGGTAGGTATTGTGCTATGGGTCCTCCCCTGGCAAACCTTTCCCGCCCGTGTATAACGAGCTACGAGATTAGTACGCAGTCTACGTACACATCCACATACTATTACAACTTTCTATGCTATCGACCGTTTAGAAACTTACCGTACGTATACCGTATCTCCCATAGATACGCCGGGGGCTTCTGACAGAACGTCGTTTATACCCCACTATCACTTTCCTGATATTTAGTACCTTTTCTATATGCAATCATACCTTCTAAGGTGAGGGGTCTTTCTTGGGTCACGATAAGGCTAGTACTCTCTGTTGGTTACATCAATTTTGAACTATGAGGTAAAAGTAAATTACGGCGGAGGTCTATGCTTCCATTGGCACATATATCGATGGACAACTTAGAGATCCTACGTCCACTCAATTAGGTCATATGTTGTGAAGCTGTGTTGACCATGCAACATCAGGACGCTTATCCCATTCCCTTGGCCCGGAGTAGGGAGGCATCCTGATGGAAGGGTGACGAAACATTCTAGGAGAAAGCAGTATCCAAAGCTCATCATCGTCGTCAGGAGACTCATTCTCGGCTTGATTTGCTTTATTCGGACATGACAACGTCACCAACAGTGACCAACTCATAGAGGTTTGATTCCATGTAACATCAGTACATACACGGGTATGGATGCAGATCCATGCACCATTTAGGGAGAATTCGGGCCCTAACAGCACTATTGAATCAATGAAGTTGGCCTTTTCCTTCAACCATATTGTGGAAGCCATTTTTCTAGAAGGTCTGGCCAAATGGAACCCAAGGCGGTAAAGTGATATTGGCGCCCTGTACTCGCTAACAAATCCCTTGCCCTAATCACGTCGGACAGCTCCGTTCTCCCATAGCGGAACTTTAGTTCGCAGATGGAAAAATCTACAACTACATCGGTATAGCCGAAGGGTAATCCGAGATCTCTACTAAGGTCTCGGACCCCTTGCCAGTTGCGCATGGCTGGTTCAAGTTGTCCGCTCAAATGTTCGGTAATTGCAATGCCTATGGAGACTGCAATGCGATCGACCCACAATAGGCGATTGTTAGACTCCAATTCCTGGTACATGGCTTGTACTTCTTGTCTACTAGACCAGGTCTGCCCAGACATGACCTCCCGTAAACCTTTCAGGAGGTATGCATTGGCCAATGCAACTCGGACGCGAACTTCTGCTCTTGACGCTGGTCGCTTGGAAAGCATTAGCCACCCTTCCAATCTCACAACAGCCTTGTCGGGTTCTCCCATTTCACACATGGCAGCGCCAAGATGCACAAGAACGTTGCTGCTGGTCATACGAACAGCTGATAAAATGCCGTAGGCTTCGAGGAAACGCCCCTGGAAGCGATACACTATAGCACGAGTTATATTGACTAGCTCCTCCTGTGCATGTTCAAATGTGGAGGAGAACAGACGCCTAAAACACGAAAGTTCCTTTTCAGCCAACTGAAGGTCGTTACGGCGGATGGATGCGCGGGCTTTCAGCAGGGCTAGATCAGCTGAGAAGGCATTTATTCTCGCGTCATTCGGTGGGGGAAATGCTACGAGTCGTATTTCGTGGCTCGGTAGTGCGGCGTTCTTAGACAAGGAGAGTCGTAGCGTTCTGACATGTAACCTTACTTTTAGTAGCGCAATATCCGAAGGATTCATGTTATTTTCTTCGCAAAACCGAACCAAGCCTGTAGCGGTAGTGATTGCTTTCTCCTTCCAATTGAGGTCACTAAAATGGGACGATGCGAGACACACTTCGACGGCATCATACAGGCTAGGGCCAGGGCCCTTGACAAAGTAGGTCATTACCTGCGGCTCTACCAGATAGGAGAACACGTGGCTCAAGTTAGGAAGCATGATTTCGAAGCGCTGGTCATAGCTTAAAAATTACTTGTTAATGGGTTGAGCGGTTGGGTGACTTGCGATAGACCTACTCTTCGGGCTCCAATTTTCTATCTTTGGGGAGAGCATGCAATAGAAGCTGGATAGCTCGGACTTTCCAGGCTAGGGTTTCCTCTCTATCTTTGAGGATGTTCGCGAGCCGCCTATTCACCCGGATTATGTCGGCAGTCGACTTAACGAACCCGAGCATTTCTAATTTCCGTAGCACAGCACTGAAATGGGATGGGTCCCTGATTATCTCCGTGATCGTTATAGAAGCCTCACAAACCTCCCCATCTCCACCCCAGGTCTTAGAGGTATTACGGCATTGGGAGAATATGATATGAGGAACGACGGGTGTCCCAAAGCAATACAGGAGACAAGCTATGCCTATGGAGTCACGGTCAAAGTGGTCTAATAATCGGTTGAACCAGGCGGCAAAGGAATGATGAACAGAAAAACCATTGGCTCTCCTAAATAGATCCAGCTTGGACCGTTCCGTGATATCATCGCCAGCAAGTCGTTCCAACGTCTCCCTATTCTGTAGATTGCGATGCGCATCAAGCGTGGCATAAAACACGGCAATCAAAGCGAACACGCCGCCAGCCTGTAGTGATAAGGCAATGAGTGGGGCCCTCGGGGAGAGTTGTGTTCGATGATCGAGCTTCCGGGACAGTATATAATTCCGCACGTATTTTTCTTGGTCTCCTGGAAATTCATCGAGCGCAGAGCGAAGAGCATGCTCGGCTAGGATGACATCTACTGTGTCTGGGAGCTGTTCTCGGTGGCAGAGAAGCAAGGCGTCGATCAGGAGGCCTCGGAGCTCGTAAGGATCCTGTTTCACGGCTGTCTGTATGTCGAGCCTTTCACCGCTGTCCAACTCGCAGAAGAGGCGCATGATGTACAGCGGCTTCAAAGCTCCTGATTGGGGCACGAGGGGGTGATGCTATGGGGTCCTAGGCACTGGGTACTAGGTAGGTAGGTACCTCAGGTACTGGCTACCTCCGGCTAGCAGAGTGCGGAGAAGCAGTATTGAGCCATCTGCTGGAGAACTGTCTAGTGTGGCACGTGCCACCCATGAGAATGTTGCCAAGAGGACAGACGGTGGATGACACTGCATGTGGAGCCCACTAAGAATTGACCTATCAGCGTGCCTACTATCTGGGACCGAGGTGGCGCTCATTAGCCCCACTCCATTCCCTTCTCCCCATACCGTACCTATGTATATCGGACCCCCTTTTCAGGAGTCAACTAATCGAATTTACAAGGTCTTGAACACGCAATGAAGACTCGAATGGGATCTTGAGAAATCGTGAGGAACAGATCGATATCTGCGGTACCCAGGTAGATTAGAGCCATTAGGATTGATATGTTCATAGGTTACTATCACAGTATTCCTGCGTAACAGAGCTGGTCGTCCTGGTCAGTACCTTGGGATCTGGGACGGCGTCGCTTTGATCTTAACCTTGGCATGGAGTTGCCCATTGACCTATCTCATTCGTTTGACATGGATTCCTTAGGTGTTTGATTTCCGACCCATGTCCCCTCGCATGTCTCGTAGGTCCTAGGTCCCCCTAATTTCAACAGGTTCGGTTCGATTAAATCGGCCTTGCGTCCATTGATTTCCGTATGCGTCGTTCATCGCTACGCAAAAAACTGCACTTTTGTAACCGTGAGGATGAGACAATGTTGCCTCGCAGCCTCATATCCGCTTTGGTTCTCTTCCTGCTTACGGCCGCCTCTTGTGCTACGTGGTTCGCACGTCAGTTGCTTGAGAGGCTCCGTAGGAGATCCCGACAGGACTTCTCGCTTTTTTTACTCTTCTCGATCTACTCGTTGTTATATATAACAGTAGCAGTCATCTTGTTGGTCTTGATTCGGCGGGGAGGGCAAGGCTACGCAAGCATACTTGGGAAATTAAATGCATTTTGCATTTTGCTAGACGTATGTGCAGCAACAGTCCCATCGAAATCGAAGCTAATCGAATCAGTCGTTCCTTATAGCGCAACAAGACCCACTCACCGCCTCAGTCGAGGCAGCCTTGATCAGAATTGTCAGGTTCTTTCGATTTACGACTAGCCATACGGGGCGTGTGTTTGCTTTTTCTGTTATTGGGGTTGAATCTATCTGTTTCATCCTCACTTTCCTGCTCGACAGGTGGGCATATGTAGGGCTGGTAGTGATTCATTACCTCTGGACGACAATTTGGATTGGCCACACACACAATGCTCTCAATGCTCGGCACGTTGCTGCGGCGATTGTGACTGCGGCTGCAGCTGTTTGCGCTGCTTGTGGACTAGAGGATATTTCGTCACTGGTAATACCTCCGTTCCCTTTGTTTAGGGGCTCTACTAACTATCTAGGTGTTCTTATGCTTTTCAATCATTTGGGTAGTTACAGTTGAATCTATTACTACCTATTGTACCCAGGCAAGCCGAATCCGCCGTGCTGAACACAAAAACGATACCAATCTTACCTCTGAATCTGATTATTATCGCGTCGACGATCCACACCCGGTTTACGAACTCTCAATCATTGGAGTCCCATATATCGATGAGATATTCCGCGTTCATAGAAAGCTCGGGTGTACTTTTCAACGAAACCGCGACAATACCTTCATTTGTAGTCAAATGATACGCTACAGGGTATTCACTTATAGGGTAAAAACGGCCTGTTCAACTAGCGGCAAAGCCGAGACAGGAACCAAGGATCTGGTTACGAGAACTGATGGCTATATACTAGTATACGATGCTGCAAAAAGCGATACTTTCGATTATATCACATCCATCGCCCAAACTGAAGGTATTCCCCGCTCTAGTCCAGTCATATTGCTTCCAAAAATTATCAATGGCGAGGAAATTCAAGTAACTGAAGATCAAGGCGCGGAAACAGCAAGTAGAAACGGTTGGATATTCTGGAAGGAAAACGATAATTTATTTGCTTTTATCATTTGTATGTTACAAGATCCGAAGCGGAGCATACCATCGTTGGAAAGGTGCGGTTCATGTTGAGGCCCAGGTATATTTCGGCTATGTACTTTATTAGACAAATATTGATTTTCTATCAAGTTTTTATGTTACTATAAAATGTATAATTACATGGCGAAGAATATTGCCGCAAAGAATCTTTAACCTTAAAATAGTGTTACGTTCCAAGCTGCGGGGTAACACATATAATACAGAACTGGGGAATAGTAACCAATTGGTCACTGGGAAGCTTTTGCTTTATGGCTTAACTGGTTGTCCCCAAACTAGTTTGTGACATTAAGGTTGAAAATTAATTTCGTTTTTAAAATTTTTTAATTAAATTAATTAATTAATAATTAAAAAAATGAAAATGTGACGAACCTATACCCGGGTGGGGTATAGTCGTTACTGGATTGGCTAATCCAAGGTGTCTTAATTTGAAGGTAACAGTATCAGTAGTAGGTCAGGTGCTTAAGTAAGTTCTGTTCGTCAGAGAGGCTTGGAGTCTTTTCACTATGCAAGAGAATAGTCTTAGATTGATAACTAAAGAGTTATGGAAAAGAGTGACTAGATATATGGGAAAATGCTGTGATTATATAGATGTCCTTTATTCCTCCTGCTATCTGAGGTTGTCGTGATGTGTTGTGATGTGCCGTATCACAACACATCCAGGATGTGTTGCGATGTGTTGGATCTCAACACATCAATCCGGGGTTTTGCCGTGATTGGTTGTCGACACTCTACCCTTGTGGTCTCAATAAGGGTCGGCTTTGGGTTGGTTTGTGACAGTAGTGGATAGATCTTCAGCAGGTGTAGATTAAACACCTTCTGTTCTACCTGGAGAATCAGTAATTAAGATATAGTCCGGTTTGATAAGTCCATAAGGTTTTGTCACAAACCATACGCGCTTACAGGGGTGTAAGACCTTGGAGGAAACCTTTTTCCTCGCCGAGGTGGGGCAATGGCAGCGGGAATGCATGACACGTGACATGGATGAGTATGGATGAGAGTATCCAGTCTCATCCAAGGAGTGTGATGAGGATGAGTGTGGATAAGGGTATCCAACCTTATCCATAAGGGAAGCAACAGTAGGAACGTCTATATAATCACCACATTTTCTTATGTATCTAGTCACTCTTTCCACGGCTCTTTAGTTATCAATTTAAGACTATTCTTTCGGGTATAGTGAGAGGACTCCAAGCCTCTCTGACGAACAGAACGTACTTAACTACTTGACCTATTATTGATACTGTTACCTTCAAATCAAGACACCCCGGATTAGCCAATCCAGCAACGACTATACCTCTCCGAGGCATAGGTTCGTCACAGGTTTGTTAAATTGTCCTTATAGCTCTGCTTCTATAAGTCATTTTGTATTAACTTTTTATTTAAGTTTCATTATAGATTTAGGTGTAACAA